GAATACCCTGTAAGGCGCTTACATTAAAAACAAAACCTGTCCAATTAAGTGTTTCCTTCAAAAAGAAGTGGATTTGATTTTTCTAAGAAAAGAAAAGATTTTTGTATATATGTATGTATGGTATTCAGCTTTATTTGGGTATTTTCCCACGTCATTATAGTTGTGCTTTTAAAGTTGTAGCAACGTTTCGGCAGAATCTCACCTGCCATCATCAGGCTTCTGTATAGTGTTCATCTGTGAGTCAGACTTTCACAGCCACTTCTGTTTTAAATTTGGTGCTAGCCTACTGCTTTGACAGAATGGCTTTTTCTTCATCCTGATTGGTTGGGAGTCTTGGTCTGTGTTTATTGGTCTTGGAGTTTGCTGTGTTCTGCTTGATTAGTGTTTCTAATATCTTCTGTCTATTTTGTAGCTTTTTTTTGTCTTGATTGGCTGGCACCATTGTGTTTCCTGTATTGGAGGCTTTTAGTGTGACTTGGCTCTGAGTAAACGGACAGCTATCATTTATTAGGAAGCTAGGTTTCATCTGGGTGCCTGGTTAGGGAGTGTTTGAGCTGGAGGTATCAGGGGGAGTCTGTTTGTGCCAACGACTTCCACAAAAGCAAAATCACTGGCTTGATCCACAAAAACACACTGAGACATAATGGAGACCTAGAAGATGAACAGACCTATGGAACAGCTGTCCTGCCCTACATAAGAGGTACTACAGACAAAATCAGCAAGATACTACACAGGCATCACATCAAGACTGCCTTCAAAACAGACAGAAAAATAACAGCCATCCTTAGAAACCCCAAAAATAAAATTGATCTGGAAAACCAAGGCATCTATGAAATCCCCTGTGCATCATGCCCTGCCACATACATTGGACAGACCAATAGAAGAATAAGTACCTGCCTGGATGAACACAAAAATGCAGTAAAAAAGCTGGAACACACTTCCTCACTAGTCCAACACATGAAAGCCACAGGTCATAGCATCGACTTCAATGGCACCAAAACCCTAGCCACTATAGAAAACCCCAGCTACAGAATTATCAGAGAAGCCATAGATATTGAAAAAAGACCTGAAAGCATGAATAGAAGAGATGACTCCACCAGACTGTCAATTATCTGGAAGCCTGCACTCTCAAACAAAAAAAATTCCACACCACAAACCAGGCAAACACCTGGGCACAGACTCCCCCGATACCTCCAGCTCAAACATGCCCCAACCAGGCACCCAGATGAAACCTAGCTTCCTAATAAATGATAGCTGTCTGTTTACTCGGAGCCAAGTCGCACTAAAAGCCTGCAATGCAGGAAACACAATGTTGCCAGCCAATTAAGACAAAAAAAAGCTACAAAATAGACAGAAGATATTAGAAACACCAGTCAAGCAGAGCACAGCAAACTCCAAGACCAATAAACACAGACCAAGACTCCCAACCAATCAGGATGAAGAAAAAACCATTCTGTCACAGCAGTAGGCTAGCACCAAATTTAAAACAGAAATGGCTGTGAAAGTCTGACTCACAGATGAACACAATATAGAAGCCTGAAGATGGCAGATGAGATTCTGCCAAAATGTCGCTACAACTTTAAAAGCACAACTATAATGACGTGGGAAAATACCCGAACAAAGCTGAATACCATACATGTAAATACCCGCAAAAACTTAAGATAGATAGATAGATAGATAGATAGATAGATAGATGATAGATAGATAGATAGATAGATAGATAGATAGATAGATAGATAGATATTCAAATAAAAAGCAAAGGAAATGTATAAAGGAAGAAGAGAAAGGCAAAGAGGCAAAGAAAAAAGAGATAGAAAAAAAGGAGACAATCTGAAAAGGACAGAAAGCATGAAAAAAATATCTAAAGAAATGACTTCTGGTTTTCTTCTCAGCAATTATTGCAATTTTAATCAAACCTCTAAGATTACATCATAATTCCTTTCTTTATAATTCCTTTCTTTCTAATCATCAAAAGTATAAGTCACAAAATCATTTTGTATTTTACATAAAAAGTACCTAAGCAGTTTCCAGTCATTGATAAATGTCCATAATGTTCTTTTTCTAATCAGGAAGTCAGCCAAGTGATCTCAGCAAGTTCTGTCAATTTCACCAATAATGCTGATTTTTTCCATTTTTGTGCATATAATAATCTTGCCACAGTAATCATATACTGAAATAAATTTCAGTGACTGTTTTCTAACACTGTATCAATCAATCCTGAAAGGAAAAGTTCTGCCTGCAAATGAGTATTATTCTTTTAAATCCTCCATATCAGTGTTCATTTTTGAATCAAAATTTTTAAAGTTTTTTTATATGTCCATCAAGTGTGATAGAATGTTCCCTCATGTTGATCACATTTTTGACACTGATTTGGAATGCTGTTTATACATTCTGGATAATTTTTCTGGCATCATGTACCAAAGATACACTTTTTTGTAAACTTTAAGACAATAATATAATATAAATTTCAACGCCATTACATTACAATAATTATTTGTTTAGCAGAGTGATGGCGTTCAGGAAAAAATTGTTCTTGTGTCTAATTGTTCTGGTGTGCAGTGCTCTATAGCGTTCTTTTGAAGGTAGGAGTTGAAACAGTTTATGTCCAGGATGTGAGGGGTCTGTAAATATTTTCACAGCCCTCTTTTTGACTCATGCAGTATACAGGTCCTCAATTGAAGGCAGGTTGATAGTAATTGGTTTTTCTGCAGTCCTAATTATCCTCTGAAATCTGTGTCTGTCCTGTTGTGTTGCAGAACCAAACCAGACAGTTATAGAGAGAGGTGCAGATGATAGACTCAATAATTCCCCTGTAGAACTGTATCAGCAGCTCCTTGGGCAGTTTGAGCTTTCTGAGTTGGTGCAGAAAGAACATTCTTTGTTGTGCTTTTCTGATGATGTTTTTGACATAAGGTGTCAAATTTTAGGTCTTGTGATATGATAGAACTTAGAAATTTAAATGTCTCTACTGTTGATACTGTGTTGTCTAGTATTGTAAGAGGTGGTAGTATGGGAGGTTTCTTCTAAAGTCTACCACCATTTCTACAGTTTTGAGTGTGTTCAGTTCCAGATTGTTCTGGTTACACCATGAGGCAAGTTGTACAACCTCCTGTCTGTATGTGGATTCGTCATTGTCTCGAATGAGACCAATCACTGTTGTGTCATCTGCAAACTTCAGTATTTTAACAGATGGATTGTTTGAGATGCAGTCATTGGTATATAGGGAGAAGAGAAGTGGAGAAAGTACACAGCCTTGCAGGGGGCTGTGCTAATTGTACAGGTATTAGATGTGATTCTGCCTAGCTTCACCTGGTGCTTCCTGTCTGTTAGGAAGCTTATGATCCACTTACAAGTGTGTTCAGGTACCACTAGCTGGTTTAGTTTAGTTAGAAGAATGTCTGGAATGATGGTATTGAATGCCGAACTGAAGTCTACAAAGAGGACCCTTGCTTAGGCATTTGGGGATTCAAGGTGTTGCAGGACGTAGTGCAGAGCCATATTAACAGCATCTTCTGTCGATCTATTTGCTCAGTATGCAAACTGCATGGGATCTAACAGCGGATCCATGATAGTTTTCAGGTGGGACAGCACTAGCCTTTCAAAGGTTTTAATAATTACAGATGTTAGAGCAACTGGTCTGTAGTCATTCAGTTCCCTGGCTTCTTTAGCACTAGGATGATAGTAGAGTGCTTAAAGCAAGAAGGAACATGGCACATCTCTAGTGATTTATTGAAGATTCGAGTGAAGATGGGGGCCAATTGGTCAGCACAGACTTTTAAGCAAGAAGGAGATCTTGTCTGGGCCTGGTGCTTTTCCTGGCTTTTGTCTGTGAAATAGATCTTGCACTTCTTTCTCTGTGATCACCAGAGGTTGTGAACCCAATGGGTTTGGGTCAATTGTGGGAGCTTTGGCTGTTGTTTGCGATGTGGTCAGTTGTAGAAGATTTGACTGTCGTTGGTGTGTTTGAGATGGGGATTGTGGAGATAGGTGGCTGTAGTTTCCTTTCAAACCTGCAGTAAAACACATTCAGGTCATCTGCTAGTTGTTGATTTCCTTCTCCCTGGGAAGGAGGTTTGCTGTAGCCAGTGATGTTTTTAAGAGTTTTCCACATGTTTGCTCGTTCATTTGTTGAGAACTGATTCCTTAACTTTTCAGAGTAGCTTCTTTTTGCTGCTCTGATCTCTCTTGTTAATACGTTTCTGGCCTGATTGTACAGCATTCTGTCACCTTTTCTGTAGGCTTCCTCTTTGGAATGACGTAGCTGCTTAAGTTTAGCTGTGAACGAAGGTTTATTGTTACTATATGTTCACAGGTTCCTGATCAGTACACATAGGTTTTCACAGAAACTGACATATGATGTTGCAGTATCTATGAGCTCATCTAGGTCTGCAGAGGTAACTTCGAAAACATTTCAATCAGTGCAATCAAGGCAAGCTAGTAACTTCAGCTTTGCCTCATCAGTCCATGTTCTCACAGATTTAATTGTTGGTTTCATAGCTTTAAATCTTTGTCTGTAGGCAGGTACAAGGTTAAGTAATGCAGTGATCAGATTGTCCCACAGCTGCTTGTGGTAAAGACCTATAAACTTATAATATATCTTTTAGTGTTGTGTAGCAGTGATCTAAAGTATTTTTGCCAGTGTTAGGACCAGTGATGGTATTCTACTAGTTTGGCCTGGTTCAGATGAATCGGTAGTAAAAAAATGTTACAGTCCGGCTGAACCAGTAGTAAAAAACAGCTACCTGTTCAGACAAACCGGTATTTCTTTTTTTTTTTCCTCCCAAAGATCAGCTGTTCTGATGATCAGCTGGGCCGGGATCCCTCTTGTGTCTTACTGCTTCACCCAGGAGGCTTCCCTGAGGTCCAGGAGGCAAAAAAAATGGAGCGGAAGGGGATGGGTGCTGCAAAAAAAAAAAAGAGGAAGCTATGCTCATCCAGTCACATGGCCACGCCCACCAAGCCATGCCTACAGAACTGGTAGTAAAAATATTTGCATCCTACCCCTGAGTGGGACAATTGACATGCTGGAAATATTTTAGGAGCTCTTTCCTTAAATTTGCTTGATTGAAATGTCCTAAAATGATGGGAAGGTAATCTAGGTGTTTGGCTTCAGCTTCTTGACTTGAGGGCTAAAGTAACAAACCCGATGCTTATTGTTATACCCCCATTCAAAAGTTGCCTCTGATTCTCTTCAGAAATTCTGTCTATATAAATATTCATCCACTTTTTCAAAGGAAATGTCTTAATCTTTATATAGAATAGAACAATATCGGTGAAAGGCTTTTCGTAAATTTGCATTATGTCATTACAGTATTTTCTTCTTGTAAATTTAGTATTATTTTCTTTTCTTTTTGCTTTCACAACTTGTATGCCAATTATTTCCTCAGTTTATTTATAAACTCAGAACTCTTTGTTTTGCATAATTCATGTTTATTTCCATGTCCCTCGGTGTTAAAACAGAGAGTTGCTTCTGTAGAAATTTCAGTTGGTGGGTAATAGTTGTTTCCCTGTGAACTTTTTAAAAACTCTTCTTCTTTTTTTAATCTGCTCCAAAATCACTTGTATTTTCTCTTGCATTTTCTTTTTAAATTCACTGTTACATTCTATGTGTCAGCCTCATATAGCCGGTTATAAAAGATTTGCTTGCATTTCAAACCATTCTGATTTCTGAGCCACTCTTAAGATTTTTTTAAAAAATCCTTTTAGCTTCTTTTTACAATTCTCCACTACTATTTCCTTTTGCAACAACATCTCATTCAATTTCCACCTGAGTTATTTTTTCTTTTAAAATTAAAGCCACTGGGTTATTGTCTGAGAGACTCTCCAGTAACATCTCCATTTTATGAACATTACAAGTCACAGTCTTAGAGACCAAATCATATTTATTCTAGAAAAAGATCTACCTCTTTCAGATAAAGTAGTATCATCTTTTGAATCACTATTTTTACAATTGTTTTGCGTGTGAATTTGTTTTTGTTTTCTTCCTCAGTGCAGCTATTTAAGGTGAAACATGTATCATGGAATATATTTATTGTAGAGTTAATTAGACTAGAATCAGGGGTGTCAAACTAGCAGCCTGCAAACTGGATGCATCATGCTCTGGCCACACCCACTCCAGCTCCGCGAAGGGGAAAAACATTGTGATACATCACATAATGGCAACATGATGCCATGAGTTTGACACCTGTGGATTAGATGATCACTATTAATAGTGCTTAGTCTTCAACATCACATATATCAAAAGTGAGGAAAGAAATATATTTTATTTTTGTCCAATGAGGGACTCTCTATATGTCCTCATCAAACCATGTCACCTAGGGGATATAATTTCTCTGTTATAAGCAGAGGTGGTATTCAGCAGGTTCTGACCAGTTCTGGAGAACCAGTAGCAGAAATTTTGAGTAGTTCAGAGAACCAGAAAATACCACCTCTGGCTGGAGATCTTACAGTATCCTTCCCCTGCTACTCCCACCAAGCCACACCCACAGAATTGGTAGTAAAAAAAATTTGAATCCTACCACTGGTTACAGTGCTTACTCACTGAAACCACCTCCCCTCTGAGATCCAGAAGGCTATGAAGACTTGACCCTTCCTCAGGCTAGAATGTTTGTTCACTCCAATATGTTTATTATATTGTTTTATTTATTTTAATTTTATTATTTTATTTCATTTATTTTTATTTTATTATTTTATTTTATTATTTTATTACATAATGCTCTTTCCTACTCGTATTTTTCCCACAACAACCCTGTGAGGTCAGTTGAACTGAGAGAGAGAGTGACTGGTTCAAAATTATTCAACCAGAACTATGTAAAACTCATAATCTTCTGGCTTCTAGCCCGGTGCCATAACCACTAGGCAAAACTGGGTTTTATAGGTTCAGTTGTAAATTTGCAATGGTGTCTCAGTTGATGTGGTTGGGTTTTTTTTAATGTTGTCTTTGTGCTTGTATTTTGAGGTTCTTTTCATATGTATTTTTGAAGGTTTGCTTTTAACTGACAACCATATGAATTTTCTAAATAAATAAATGTTTCTAATATCTGTTGTATCTGCATTAGATTTTAATTAACAAAGGATGTTAATTTCTGAGATGCATATGTGGCATCTATGCATGCACACACAATCACACGTTGTTAAATGTTACTCTACAAAAAATATATTCTAATGGCAATTATTCTCTCCAAAAGGACCTGGAAGCTGTAGTTTAATGAGAGTGCTCAAAGGGACAGTAGGATCAGATTACACGCTGGCCTTCTTTTTCAACATTAATCACTAAGACAGAATGAGAGCAAATCCTTCCTTTTTAGAGCAAAGGAGCAACAGTGCGGGGAGGAGGCGCACTGCTAGCAAGACTAGAGGAGGGAACTTAATGAGAACATCCACATGACACTTGAATCAGCCCCATGCAAAGGCTGACATGAACACATGGCATGATCTTCAGACAGAAAATAGGCTATCACAGTTTCTGGGAGTAGTAGATAGGTCACACAGTCCATAGCTACAGGATGAGACACAGGCAACTGAGGCTGGAATATGGGTGGGAGAGACTTACTCCAGCAATTTATTTTATTTATTTATTTGATTTGTCAATCGCTTACAAGTTAATAGGTATAAGTATAAACATAGTTATGAATACATGAAATGGATACATATAAGAAAAATAAAAAGAAACAATAGGACAGGGGCGGTAGGCACGTTGATGCGCTCATGCATACCCCCTACAGACCTCTTAGGAAAGGGGTGGGGTCAATAGTAGACAGTCTAAGGTTAAAGTTTTTGGGGTTTGGGGAAGAAACCACAGAGTCAGGTAGAGCATTCCAGACATTGACCATTCTGTTGCTGAAGGTCGTATTTCCTGCAATCAAGTTTGGTGCAATTAACCTTGAGTTTGTATCTATTGTTTGCTCTTGTGTTGTTATGGTTGAAGCTGAAGTATTCATTTGTGAACAATCTGTGAACTTCCCTGCTAGCTTTTCCATTGACATTCTGGGAAAGCTAGCAGGGAAGGACACCGATAGCGATCACATGATTGTATGGCATTACAGCCAGTTATAAGCACCCAGATCATGACCACATGCCTGCAGGGGTGCTGGGACAGCCAGAACTCCAAGCATCAGTTGGAGCCATCATTCATTCAGTGCTGTTGTAACTCTGTATGGTTGCTGAATGAATGGTCATAAGCTAAGGGTTACTTGTGTGTTGTTTATGTGCTACGTTCTGCCAATATGGGTAGTCATTAAAGGGTACCAATCAAAGCAGCAGATATTCCGATATTGCTATCCAATGACAATTTGATGATGGTTAGAAATAGGAATATAATCTTATAATTCCTCTGATAGTGAAGCAGTGGGAAGAAATTTCTGCATGATCACTTTAGAAAACTGTCCAAAGTTAAGCAACTAAAGTCAAATATCTTTTCAAATATTTGAAGAATGATATCATTTACCAAGGCTAAACATATCTACTTATTTAAATCTCTCTTCAAAAGACTTAGTTACTAGTCCACTGATCAGCTTTGATGCCTTCTTCTGAACTTCTCTGAATCTGTCATAAGATGCCCCAAAATACTTCAAATAAGATTTCTTGCCCTGAAATATCTAAATACTTCTGGAACACAAAGTCAGTTTGGGGAAGATTAATTGCCTTTAGCTGTCTAGAACCTTAATTAACAAGTACTTATCACTTGCATTTTATTCCACAACAGCTTTCATCTTCTACGGATGTCTCTCTTTTTTCACATGATGTGATGCTACATATCTAAACAATAGAATATTGAGAAACTTTATTATTTTTACAAAATAGGGGTTGCCCGAAAAAATAGGTTATGTATAAGTTGAGCAAATATGTCTATTAGTTTCTCAAAAAGTACCTTTGGGTGTAATCTGTGTTCCCAGTGCTAACTCCAGTAACTTCATCCAGATTCTTGAGTAGTTGCTAGTTTAACTGAAGCTGTCCTTCTTGTAGCTAATCCTCCTCCTCTTCTCTTTCTCAGCATTAGAACCTTTTCCAAAGATTTGGATCCAAAGTTGGATAATTTGAGCTTAGTTATTTGTGCTTTGAGTGAGACATCTGGGTTGAAATGTTATATGACCCATTTGTTTGTTTTCTTAGCTATCTATGGTATTCAGTAAATAAAACAAAGTACAATTAAATTAAAGCCAATACCAAATCTTAAATTTTTCGCCTAGTAGTTAACTGGCAAACAGACAGATCTTTCAGTACAGGTTCAGTATATTGGTTCCTGTAACTTGAGTTAATTAGGAGTTAGGTGCTTTATTTTCACTAACTACAATTATTGAATAATTATAAAGGATGGCCAGCAGTAAAGCACATTGCAATAATCAAAGACATGAACCAACACATGGATAACCTTTGCCAAATCCAGTTCAGCAAAGGTTATCAACCATCTTGAGAAAGCTGCAGCTGGTGCTCTAGGCATAATGGTGTGAAAGCATTTCTCTTCATACCTGCAGTAAAATCCAGAAACAGCAAAAGGTTCAAGGAAGCACTCCTAGGTTCCTAAAAGTAATGCTTTGGGGGAGATTTGTCTATGGAGATTCTCAGTCATTCAGATCATGGTTGTCCCAAAGGTGCTTTTTCAAGAGGTAACTGGATTTTCTGGTGTTTTTCTTCGAAGTCATTTCACTTCTCATCCAAGAAGCTTCTTCAGCTCTGACTAGATGGTGGGGAATGGAATGGGAGATTGTACTTCAGTCCCTGAATCAAGTTTGTCTTTCAACGCCAATAGCATTTCTGTATTATCTGGGTTTAATTTCAGCTTGCTTGCCGAAATGGAATGGAATAGAATTGGATGGTTAGAAGCAATAGATTTGAGTGTCATCAGCATATTAGGGTAACTACAGTCTAACATTTCAAATGATCCCTCTAGTAGAAGTTGAACAGTGTGGAGGCCAAGATGGAACCATGTGGGATGTCAGGTCAATTTAGTTCTCCAACATTACTCACTGCACCAAGCTCTGGACCTAGCCCAAGAGAAAAGACCAGAACAGCACCCCAAAGCCAACTGATATTACCAGGTGATCTAGAAAATAACCTCCGTTGATCTTATCAAGATCCACAGAGAGGTTCAGAAGAAATAGCAGAGACATATTCCCTATCTATCTAGTAGGTCACCCACTAAGATGTTCATGACAGTTTCAGAATTATATTCTTTTTGACACCTGATTGAAATGGGTTCAAAAATGAAAATTATTCAAATATGTCTGGAAATATTAGGCTATCACCATTCCCACCCCCACCCCAAAACTGATTATCTGAAATTGACTATAATTGTACAGATTTATGTCATGCCACTAGGTAATCCTAGGTAAACTAGAAAGTTATCTCCACAAAACGTTAGAACTATACTTTACTGAGATAGGGTATAGCAACAGAATCTTTCAAGTCTTTACTTTCTTTATCCACCCATCTTCTTATGTTCCAGTGAATCAGGGAGATGTTTGCCTGAGCCCCTGCCAAATATCATCATGATTTCCAGGAATTAAATATTTCCACCCCTTTCCTTGGTAATGGTTTTTGCATATCTCTGTCAAGGTCATCTCCCTTACTCATATCAATGGAAGATTTAGGCTTAGTAAAAGCAAAACAACTCTTTTAAGGTGTGTGATGGCAATTCATGCAATCATTAAAGAGCCATTGATTACCTTCTATACTGAATATTATCCCATTTAATCAGCCAAGAAAGGATACGGATCGAATACCCAGTTGTAGTTCTCATCTCTATATACATCCTGTCCATATCCCTGAGATTTGTAAACTGAAAAAACACATTTACAGTACATGGAGTTGCCATGGTAACATCTATACTGGGAAATATATGTAACTCAGCCTTCAATTGTTGGGTTGGGGTGTTCTCTGAGCTTGTTCCTGTTCTTGTGGATGTTTTATCATCAGGCTAGGTAACATCATCAGTGCATCGGGGAGTGGAATTTGCTGGCTGTTTATATATGGTAGCTTGTCCTATCAAACTTGATTAGGGCATTGTTTCTTCCCAGTTTGTTTAATCAATGGGGTATTCTTATTTATCCAGTGCTGGTTAAAAGATATGTGATAAGGAAGGTTTTATTTAAGTGTTGTTTGTATAGGTCAGATTTATTTATTGGTTAGATTTATATCCAGGCTTTATTACTTTATGAGTGATTCAAGGCAGTAAACATACTTAATACTCCTTCCTCTTCTATTTTCCCTACAACTCTATGAGGTAGATTGGGCTATGAGACTGTTACAGGCTCAAAGTCTCCCATCTGGCTTTTGTGCCTAAGGTAGGACTAGAACTCACAGTCTCCTGGTTTCTATCCCAGCTCTTTAATGCAAGCAGGCTTTCTGCATGGTGCTATCAGCAGCTGTCTTTTTGCCTACAATAAAATTGGAAGAACAGCTGTTGTCTCTTTGATTCCCCATCCCTATATTCTTAAGGAGAGTCTTAAGAAAACCCTATCAGAGTATTTTCTGTTCTATTTCTGGCAAGTCAAAGGCTTCTGTTCCTTAAACAGTCTGCTCATACTTCACTATACCCTCTCTATGGTGAATTCATTTGGACTTTAATGGCAATTAATATCAACCTGTGGTGTTTTGTAAGCAGAAAGTACAAATTTCTGGTTTTTTTTTTAATTTCTCCATATAAGATATCCTGGGCAGAATAATTAGGAATCATCTCCACACATTCGACCTTAGCCAAAGGGCCAAAAATCTTTTTTTTTTTTTTTTGCAGCACTAGTCCTTCACCTTGAAATTAGGCAGATTTATATATCATTTTTATACAGAAAAAAAGTATGACTCTGTTTATGGTATGTTTTCTCACAAGCATAATCTAGGCATCTTCATGCTTTTGCTTTTAAAGGCAGGTCTTTCTTGTAAGGAAGTGTGCATATACATAGCCATTCTCTAACTTGTTATTTGGGGACATTAGATGTTTTGGCCCCAAAATGCAATTATGTCCAGTTTGCTCGTTGAGCTGTTAAACTGACTTGTTCAAACAGATGACTCAGTAAATTTTTATGACCATCATATATTTTAGATTTTTTTATAAAATGAGCATTTCTAGAGTGACACCACTAAAATCTACTCTGTTCAATGGTTCAGTGCTTTTCAGATTATCCTTCTTAAGGTATTTCTGACAAACTCTTTCTTTCATTTGTCAAGTATATAAGCCTTGGTTTTTTGTTGTTTAAAGGATTTCAATCTAAACAAAACCATGTTTTATGGTCTCCCTCCTCCCTCAATTTTCCTCTTTTTTTCTTTTACAGAACTTTATTGATTTTTTTTTAATAAAAAAACAAGATTAAAAGATAAATGGGCAAGAAAAAAGAACTGAAAAAGAAAAAAGGTTAAGAAAAAAGAAAAATAAATGTGCAAAAAAGGAAAGAAAAAATAAGAAAAATAAAAAAGAATGACTTCTGACTTAGTTACAGATACAAATAAACAATGCAGCAAACTCCTACTTTAAGGTCTACGTTTGTATAATTCCATATAATTCTCATTGTCAAATCCCAAAATCAACATCTCATTTCTTATAATTTCTTGCAAAAAATTCAAAAGTGATTTTCAAGTAGAAATAAGATTGATCAAAGTCTTTTTTTTTTTAAATCAAAGCTCTCAAATTAATCATCTCAATTAAAATCTATCACCTTTACCATCCATTCTTCCATGTAGGTATTTGTAAGTCCTTCTACCTTTGTGGATATAAAAGTCTCACCACTGTTATCATATATGAAAACCAAGTTTCATAAGATCTTTCAATCTATTTGTCCATTAAACCAACAAGAAAAATCTCTGGCTTTAATCAAAGATTCACTTTAAAATCTTCAGAATCAAGTGAAAGCTGAAACATAACAATGAGAGCTCAAGGTGGAGTAAAACATTTTTTTAAAAAAAATGTCAATAAATTTTAGAAACCCCTGACACTGAATGCCAAGAATATTCTTATTCCTTAAGTCATTTCTTCTGCTTCACACCTAATTTAAAACTAGGGCTGGGGAAAATTACTAAAAGCCAGGTGGAAAATTCTAACTTTTTGAGTTCTTCACTCCACATGCTACAATTTCAGGGGTGTCAAACTGGCAGCCCACGGCCTGGGTGTGTCACACACAGGGCATGCCCACCCCATCTCTGTAAATGGGAAAACCATCACAAAACATCATGTGACAGCAACATGATGCCAAAGGTTTGACACCCGTGTTCTAGTTAATCAAAGGGCTGATGTTGCATAGAGAGCCAGCACAAAGATGGTCTGCTTTAGAAGAGAGCAGAGAAAGCACAAACAAGTTAAAACACCACAATCTGTTTGGAAATGCCCATGGACTCCTTCAGATGGCCTCCACACTGTCTATGACAAATCAGTACAATCTGCATGTTGTCACCTATATATGAGACCATAGAATGTTGCTGTATACAAGTCAGAACATTCAGTTGTCTAACTTAGAACTGTCTACTCCAAAAGGAAAACTGGTGAGTCTCCCACAGGTTAGTGAACTGCATCTTCTAGCAAATGCCATCCCTGGTCATGATAGCTGGGGCTGCTGGAAATTGTGGTCCACCTCATCTGACAGAATCACAGTCATCCTCCCATCCTTATCCTATTTCTGACAGAAGGCAATCTCAGGGTGACTTCATCAGCAAACTAGAAAAAGAAAATTGGCGAGGATTAAAATGTAAACCAAGTGATTGCTCAATAGCAGCAAACAGCAACTTAGCTAATTAATGTCCACTCAAAGGGAAAGGGAGTGGATGGGTGTGGATGTGCACCTGGATTCTTACAGAACATAAGTGCCAGGAACCTTGCCTAGCTGCTAGCTGCAATCCATAATAATTCGATCATTTATTCTGCAGCAGCCCCAAATGTCTTAAATCTCCCGGCTACCTCTCCAGCCTCCTAGAAGTGCTGAAGACATGGCTGTGTTGTATAGTCAACAGCACACAAGGATTCAGCATGAAAGGAAACCTGAGGTAAATTCATCTCATTAGCTGTGCCTGTGTTTATCGCTTCCTACCCCACCCCAGTCCCTGGAATGCAGAAGATTGATAAGGTCTTTTATAAAGCCTTTAACTGGCCTGCCAGGCATCAAAGGAAAGGTGCTTTTTAAAATAAGCTAACATTGATGTAAAGCCAGGGCAGAGCATATTTCTTCCCCTCAATGCAAGTCAGAGAAAGAAAGAAGCTGGTGTCCTGTTTGAATTTCAGTTTTCATCACTGTAGGTGGGGAAGTTTCTAGCTCTCATGGCATTGAATAACAAAATGCATGCAAGAGGCAGGAAGGAGAGACAATAGGATAGGTACTTATTCTCCTCTGCAGATGATAGAGGCAGTGCATGATTTGTCCTCTTTTCCTGGAGGGAGGATAATCAGAGCCACTTCTCAAAAATGAAATTGGTGTCCTCACAGGGATCCTTCTTGCTCTGGCATCTATTTGAGTTCTGCAGTTTTTTATAGCCAGAGAGATACCTCCTTCCTTATTCTTTTGATGAGCTTCCTATCTGCACAAGACCTGCTATATTTCATTATTTTCTGATTGAACTTCTGGCCTGGGTGGAATTTAGATGCCCTAGTAGGTTATTTCAGTCTGACAATTGATATACAGTATATCAAAGCCCCTAGAAGCCTGTCATGCTGTAAATCAGGGTGCATAACTTATGGCCCTCAGCCTAATTTTAAGAAAGTTTAGCAAAGTTTCAGCTTATTTCAGAAAAATCTCCATGACAAATGAATTCAGACTCTTGGCAGCAAGAGCAGTACAATCGAGCCTATAGCTTGAGGAGTATACCAATAGCGCTAAGACATATATACCACTTCCCAGTGCTTTCTAGCCTTCTCTAAACTGTTTACAGAGTCAGCATATTGCCCCCAACAATCTGGGTCCCCATTTTACCAATCTCGGAAGGATGGAAGGCTGAGTCAACCTTGAGGCCGTGAAAATCGAACTGCAGAATTAGTTTGCAATATTGCATTTGATGTTTGGGAGAGCTTGCGAAAGAAAGGGAGAGAGAGGAATCAGAACAGAATAGATTAAATCTTTGGGGTAGAGATCATGCCAGTATTATTAGGCAGTAGAAATGGTAGATGTCATAGGTCTTTGCTCCATTCTTTCTTGGGCTGGTCCCCAAAGGCTTGAAAGAGCAATATATCTTCTGAGAAATTAGTAGGAAACTTCCACCAATTTGGTCCTCTCTATCATTATTATACAGCATGTGGAACTATGAGGAGAGTGAGACTTTGGGATAAGTTATTACTACTTTGCTCTGTTTCATCTCCAAACCAGCGTCCGGTGAACCCAATTAGCTAAATAAATAGTAACATGGCAGTAAATGTAATGATCTGGCCCATCAGTGCCAGGTTAGGTTTCAACTCCATATTAGGAGCCAAGAGGCTAGCTGGATCATCCATGTGTTTTCTATCCAGTGAGCCAAAATCAGCCTTGCAATATCTCAGTTTTCTCCCCTTGCAGGAAAAGATTCTACTGATTTTTCCTTATGTTCAGAGTATTTGTCAAATTTCTCTTGGGGATGCCTTGAGTTTACTTTATTGGCGGAGTCAGCAGAAGATGCTATTATTGATGTTGTTGCTTTTTGTGTTACATAGCTTTCCATCACTCCAATCATACACTTTCTGTATGCCCACATTTTACAATAAAAAACAAACACCAATGATAGGAGATGTTTTATGATATCTTCCCTTAGAATATAATGGAAGCATGAAAAGTGAGGGAGGATGCAGACAACTGGAGAGAGGATGGGCCACTGAAAGACCGAACCATAATACACCATCCGATCATTTTCTAGGTCAATATTGTAAGGGCAGGAATACCCATGGAAGTTTTCCCTAGCCAAGTTCTCTTCTCTTCTGAGGAAATTTGAAAAGGAATTTCTTTCATAAACTTGAATGAGAACAAATAGGAAAAAAATGCATGACACATGCTCCATTAAACCAGCTATATCGGTTGATGAATGTTACCTTTCTCAAGCATGTGCACCTTGCAAATTCCATTTGTACTCTTGTACAAATCGTCCTTGAACTTACAACCACAACTGAGCCCAAAATTTCTGTTGTTAAGCAAGACATTCATGAAATGAGCTTTGCCCTATTTTCTAACCACAGTTGTTAAGTGAATCACTGCACTTGTTAAATTAGTAACACAGTTGTTAGGGGAATCTGGCTTCCCCGTTCATTTTGCTTGTTGGAAAGTCACAAAATGTAATCACATGACCCCGGGACAGTGAAATTTTCATAACTATAAATTACTTGCTAAATTTTGATCACATGACTATTGGGATGCTGCAACAGTTGTTGCCAGTGTGAAAAAAGGTCATAAGCCACTTTTTTCAGTACTGTTGTAATGTCGAATAGTCACTAAATGAACTGTTGTAAATTGAGGACTCCCTGTATTCATTCTGTGTGTATATGTGTGCATATCTATGTGTGTATGTATCAAAATAATGCTGAACGTCTCTTATATATAAATTATAAATTCCATGTGTCTGCATGTTGAGTGCATCCAAACTCAGGAAAAAGAAAGAAAATAAATCCTCAAACATAACTCCAAAATGTGCCACTGGGTAGAATATGACAATATCCTGGCAATGGTTAAAATAATCCATGAAAAGATTTCTTTATGCTCTCTGTTATTTTCCCATCATTTTTATGACTGTTCATTTGGGTAACTGCAAAATACAGCCCCCTGCCAACAAAGATGACAGTCTTTGCTGACATCTAGTGGCTACAGAAATTGAGAATGGTTCCAACGTCTCCATTTCATTTACATGGAGAATTCATGTATTGGATTTCAGCTGTCCAGCAACCAGGCAGGCTGGAGTAATTGGAGCTGAGTTCATCACATTGAAAAGGCTTCAGGTTGGTTTATGTTCTTTAAAAGATTTACATTCTCTTCTATTCTTTCAACAAAGCCTGAATTTAAACACTTGGTAAATGCGTCATTTTTTTAACCCACCATGAAAAATTGAAGTGTATGTTCATGTATATATTTGAATATTTTCCTTTGGGTTGTTTGTCATCTTATGTTGTTTTGCTTTTAAAAAAAAGTTTAACAGTTCTCGAAGAACAAAACAGCTTCTGTAACCCAAAAGTGTATGGATTAACTATCCAGCCTCTATCGGTTGTGCTAGCAAAGGTATTCATGAATCCAATCTATCAAAGGTATGCGTCTTTTCCATTTTTAAATCACAAAATTGGTATTTGTTTCATTAACATACATACATGAGAGCCTCGGTAGCGCAGTGGTTAGAATGCAGTACTGCAGACTATCTCTGCTGACAGCTGGCTGCCTGCAATTTGGCAGATCGAATCCCACCCGGCTCAAGGTTGACTCAGCCTTCCACCCTTCCAAGGTGGGTAAAATGGGGACCCAGATTGTTGGGAGCAATATGCTGACTCTGTAAACTGCTTAGAGAGGGCTATAAAGCACTATAAAGCGGTATATAAGTCTAAGTGCTATTGCTATTTCAATGCATTTGGAACAAAACTTGTCCCAAAATGTTGTTGTGATATGCAGCTGACCTCAACATGTGCATACAAAAACATACTGTTCCAAATGTGCATTTTTAAAAAATTTACGCTGAAAAAAATTGAAAAAAAAATATTTTGACTCAGATGTTAGCAGATTCAGTAAATGTTTAACTCATAATTTGCTGTGCTGAATTAAATTTCAGCTACAGCTTTCTTTGATCATACCACATTCATGTCAAAGGATGAGCGCAGACATCTAAAAACAGTTCTAAAATCATTTCCAACAATGCAATTCTTGTGATAAAAGAGAGAACAACACTCTTGCTCATCTCCTGCATTTATTTGCTGTTTCTCAATTTCAGCAGTTAAGAAAGAAAAAACCCTGAACTAAGATTATTTGTTCCACTATTGTTCCAGGAATCACAGAGAGACCTCTGAGACACACTATTTTCAATCTATTTTCTGAAAAAGAGAAGGAGGCACTTTTCAGGTCTTTCTGTAGCTATGGAAAGGTTTGCATTGCTTCTCCAGTTTTCACCATAATTCTTCTCATAATGTTGACCAAGACAGAGCAAAAAAGAAATCAAAAAAACACTCCAGGGTTTTATAGATCTGGAGAATGAAGAAAGAAGTCCATCAATGTTAAGAACTAGCATAATTCATAACCTTTCTAAGCAAATCTCTCAGAAGAAAACTTTGGGTGGAGGGGAATAAAACACATAAAATAAATAAAAACCCTATTCTGTGCTTCTGATACCACCTCAAGAGGACTTTAAATAAAATAGCATTTTCCAATTCCCCTCCATTTCTTGCTCTATTAAGTTTTCCTGTTCTATGCAACAGACCCTTCTCTAATTGGTATGACGATTCGCCCTAACACAGACTTGTGTAGCAAAAAGTATGTTATGGAACACAAGGACTGTGTATGTCTCAGAAGTATATTTGATCCTCGACTCTTCTTGCAAATGTTGTACATATCCATCACAATGGAGTGTTTTTAGGACACCTGAACAAAGCAATAGAGGATCTTAGAATGTTTTTAGGAAAATTTGGGCAAGATGAAACTGGTTCGACTATTTTAAAGATAAAACTGCACTTTCCTTTAGTACCGGCATTCAAGTTGCTTTTTAGCTGTTCCCTGGCTCTTCACCAAGGTAGATTTTTCCAAAATTTGGACTTTTCCAGGAAGAATTTTCCAGGAAGGCTTACAACACAGGTGGGATGTTACCGGTTTGGCCTGGTTCTGCCAAGCCGGTAGCTCCGAAGGTGAGCGGAGACCAAAACGGTTCTCTCAGACGATCTGTTGTTGGGGCCACCCTCCCGGGCTCCCATATGGACCTTTATATCCTGCTTCTGAAGTGCAGCTGCTTTGCACGGCACAGCAGATTGGCGCACTTCAGCTGTTGTAGATGCAGGGAAAGTGCAGGATTGAAGGAGGTGAATAGGAAAGCCTCTGCATGTACGCAAAGTGCACATTTGGCGTGTGAGCACACGCAAAGTGTTTGTGTGTGCGCAAAGCGTGCCCATCCAGCCACGGCCACCGAATTGGTGGAAACCACTTTGAAACCCACCATGGGCTTACAACTTTTTCTTCATTAAAGAAGGAACAAACTTGGCATGAAGAACTTCTATTCCTTTGTCCAAGATTCCATACTCCAAAAAAGAAAGCTAGAAAGTAAATATAAATTATTTCTGTCTTGCTGTTTGACAAAAATCTGAGGTTGGACGTCTTTGAAAAGAAAATCCAGTCCAACTAAGCGATATCATTTTAAGACATTTTTTTGAGCCATATTGACTTCAACATGCATATGTAACACAGATACATAATATATGTATGTATGCATGCATATGTGGTCCTCTTGTGCATGTACTCATTTCAGATGATACAAAAACTCCAGCAACCATTTCAGATAATATAAAAACTCGATTCCTCGAGGCAATCACCCTTCACCATATGCCTGGGCATCTCTTAGCTTTAGAAAGCCACAGAAATCTCAAGAGAGATTTCTTGATATGCCTGACAATTCACAAAAATTAAGTTGGATCAAAATGGCCTGCAGGCAGTTGCTCATCAGACTGAAGCTAAGAGGAACTTTTGGTTCAAGTTTATATTCACAACAAATTAAAGCACAGAACTGGCTAACTTTCAAATTGATTAATCCTATAATCCTAGGAATACAAAGGGCTTATCTGCTCTGCCTGGTTGCTCTGTCATCATATTGGTCAGCAATTATTTTGGGAAGACAGGAACAGATGATGCCACTTTACACTCCCTCTCTCCCATGTTGTGAATGTTACCCATGAGAGTGTTTTGGTGCTGTGGCTTTAAAACTCTTTTCCCTTTTATGTCACCTTGAGTGCTCTTGTTGTTTGGACTGGTGGTCTTTACCTCATGATAGGTTAATCACTGAAGGGGGAAAGGGGGGGGGAGAGGAAAAAAGTAATTAAAATATGCAGTATAGGTTTCTTTAGGGTTTCATGCCAGCAACCTTCGATTTGCAGTGCAAATATTAGAACTCCTGTACTATTACAGCAGCTTTAGCAAACGTAAGTCTAGAAGACATTAGAGAACAAGGACCAACTGATTGTTGTGCTTAGATTTATGTATATCTCAATGCTTTTAACGTTGAATACAGAAATTCAGTTTAATTGTGTGTGTCTCTTTGTGTATGTCTGTGTGAGTGTGTATGCCTAGGAGTAGTGTCGACTCCTGGTGGCAGCCTGGACAAGTCCCCTCACTTTTCTTGACAATATTTTTCCCTTCCTTTCTTCCTAGGGCTGAGAGAAAACCTGGCTCAAAATGCCCCAGAAGATTTTACCTCCAAAGTGGAAGTACATCTCACAGTCTCACAGTTTCTTGCCTGATGCCTTAACAACTACACCAAACTGGTTTTGTAAGTGTATATGTATGAAAGAATATATGTCCATGATTATTTATCCACAGGATGAAAAAATAATTCATTTTTTGGAATTGTTTCCTTAGAACAGAATACTGGCAGAACACAGAGGCACAATGTGGTAGCAGCAGTACCAGACCAACTATCTCCAAAAGCGTTTCAGTCCTGACAGGATTTTTGTAAACAGGCTGAAATTCATGCCAACATGAGAGATGACTGCAGCAGCATAAGACTGAAGATATACGTTTAGTTACAAAAACGGTTGCCGACTCTGTAATATGTTTAGGATTGTACATTGCATATTCTGTACTTTATAACCTGATTCTGGAACAAAAACCAAATCTCCACAGAATTGAACTTACGTGTACCTGAATCAGAGGATGATGTTAACAAGGCCTTAACTTGGAATAACATCAATTATTGCTACTTTTCTCCTTCTGATGCCATGGCGCTATATTTAAGTTATTAGGGATGTATAGATGGAAAATATGGAGCTGTAAGCTGTAAGTTCCTACTGCCACTAGTTATATTCTACCAGGACATCTGAAAGAACATAGAATTGGAAGTGCAGGAATCCAAATTTTCCCAACAGAAGGCTATATCCAAGCAGAGGAATGCTAATTGTGGTTAGTTATTGGTTCTACTCTAAGACTGCTCTTTCTGTCAGTAGGACCTCTCCTATTATTCAATTGACCTCTACCTTTTTGGAGCTTTAGACTACACTGACACACATAGTTCTTTGAATTATTTATCTGTGTTATCACACAATAACTTTCCAAAAGTGCTTTCTCCCCACTTGAATAAAGTGATGAGATTAGCTATTTCCATACCTGATGGTTAGAACTTTCAAAAATGTTTACTCTTGAAGTGAAAGGAAAGCTTTTGAGGAATTCTCAATACTCTTGAAGTGAAAGGAAGGCTTTTGAGGAATTGCATTATTCCATAAGTGAGATGATAACACTCAGAATGTGTGAATGCACATAAGCAGGTGCATAAAATTGACAGTTTATGGCATTAAAAATTATGTAAAATCATTTTTCCCAAGTAACTCCAACCATTTACATTACAACCCTGATAAAATGCATCTATTATTCTGTTTATGAATGCTGTTTGCCCACCATGTCTTTCAACTGACTTTTGATTCTGATCACCATGTCTTTCAACTGACTTTTGATTCTGATTTTTGTCCTTACTGTAGTTTATCTTATATCTTATATGATGCATATCTTATGCTACCATACTGTAGTTTATTTTATATGATGCATCAGACAGTTGTTAAAACTGAAAGGGACTGCACCACCTGCTTTTTTGTCCATATTTTCTTCTTATGCTTCAGTCACTTTTCAATAAGCAAGGACATTTGCATCCACAGATGGCTTTGGTAAAGGGAGAAAAAAAATATTTGTCAATTTTTGCCTTCCTGCATTAAATGAAAAAAAAAAAACCCTTTATACACGCTTCCCAGGCACATTTTGTTCAACTAAATAAAATTAGTAGTTATGTTGAATTACATAACCCTGATGTACAAAACAAATTTTCTAGCCTGTTAAATAAAATTATAGGAATAGCTCTTCAAAGAAGACATTAAAATTAAAAAAAAGAGAGAACTGTTGGGCAAGAATACTAAAAATGCCAGAAAATGCATGTAATAAACATATTCATCTCTCTCATTGCTGGAAAACTGCTATGTTACAAACTGCACATATCTTTCCACCCTTAGTGTTAAATACTTCTTAATTAAATGGGCTATTTGGGAGTTGCAAACTATGTTTTATTTTTACATTCCTGAATTTTCATCTTCTGCAGTTTTCTGTGTGTTGTTTTTTTTGGTTGGTCCCTTGTCTCCAGTCAATAGCATTTTAAAAACTGTTGTTTAAATGTATATTTAATGTATAGGATTAAGATTGGGAAGTTTTATGGACATTATGTCTGCAAGTGTACAAGCAATCCTCATGTTACAATCACAATTGAGCCCCAAAATGTATGTTGCTAAGTGAAACATTTGCTAAGTGAGTTTTGTCCCATATTACGTCTTTTTGGCCACAGTTATTAAGTGAATCATTGCATTTGTTAATAACATGTTGGTTAAGTGAATCTGGCTTCTCCATTGACTTGGCTGGTTGAAAAAGGAGTTCACATGACACTGCGACTGACTTAAATATGAACCAGTTGCCAAGCATCTAAATTTGATCATGTGACCATGGGGATGCTGCAATGGTCATAACGTCATTTTTCAGTGCTGTTATAACTTTGAATGGTCATTAAATGAACTTTTGTAAGTCAAGGACTACCTGTAGTGGTTTCTTTGAAAACCCAACTGATGGTGTGATCTTTTGCTTTTGTAACATTTTTTTTCCCCAAGGTTCTGAGGGTCATCTCCATTAAAGGAACTTATAGCGTTCCGGTTAGTATTTGCACATGCTGGTTTAAAACAAATAGAATTTGCCCCCAGAGCATTTGCATTGCAAAGTACATGAACAGCCTTTTACTGGGAAGGCATCTTGGTATTTGACTAAAAACTGCTGGGGAAATATTCATAATGCTGAATTCTTAACAGGCAAGCCTTGAATAAATATCAAAAAAGGCTGGAAACTCTTGCTGGGTTTTATTGTTATTTGGACATCTCCACTGATACTGAAATAATCTTCTTTAGTTCACTATGTTATGAATTACAGATAATACCTTTAGCCTTCAATGGGGTCTTGATCTACAATTCTAGGAACTGTTCCCTACCCTTTTTTTTTCTCCATTGAATTTCATAATGGAAATTTGTGGGGGCCCAAGGCAATCATTTTACATGTTCTTTGTATCAGCTTGTCCTTTCTGATTACACCAGGGAGAGAGAGAGAGAAAAAAAAAATTCAGTGATGCTGTACTTGGAAATTGTGCTATTCTGTGAAGATGGAAGGATAGAGAGCAGCTTGTTTTCCTTACAGGTTTCCCTTTTCTTATTATCTAGGATGATTAAGGTTTTCTGATCCTTTTCTTAAAAGCTCTTTTCTTAACTTTGCTGAAAAATCAAAAGGCAGCTTTGCAAGCGATCCAATTTTATCACTGCAGCACTCAAATATCCCCCCTTTGGAAATTACAGGGAAGCTTTTATGAGTGAGGAAAGGCTGAAACGCCTAGCAAAATAAATCTATTCTGGGGAATGTACACTATTCTCATCCTGGACTAGGATATTTGAAAAGGTAGTACAGCTATAGAAAGGGGAAATGATTAAAGAGCTTCAATTGTGGGTTAAGGCACCAGGCTACAAAACGGGAGATTGTGAGTTCTAGTCTCTCCTTAGCCATGAAAACCAGCTAGGAGACCTTGGGCCAATCACTCTCTCTCAGTCCCACCCATCTCACTGGGTTGCTGTTGTGGGGAAAACATGAGGAGCAAGGTGTGTTGGTTACACTTGCCTCTTTGAGTTATTAGTACAAAATAAAATAAATTAATTATTTTAGGTTACTTGATTAAATCAGAAGTTTACTGATTTCATATACAGGGGAGAGGACAACTGCAATTGGAGGATGGCCTATTTCAGACCTCAGGAAAGAGCCTTCTCCCCCACTTGGGGGAGAAGCTGGCCACTTGAGGGGAGAAAATATTAGAAAAAGATGCAAGGATATGGGTGGTAAGAGAGAGAGGGAGGGAGAGAGGGAAAGAAAGGGGGAGGGAGGGAGGGAGGGAGGGAAGAGGAGACATTTATCCTCCCACTTTTGTTCTGATCTCTTTTATTGCATACTTATCCCCCAATAGATTACTCTCAAGCCATAAACACTTATGCCCACCCCTTTTAAAGGAAGTCTTTGATGTAGCTCCTCCTCCTTGTTGACTCAAAATAAGCAATCTTTTTCTGTTTTGTGGTTATCCTTTTTTCTTTACCTTCTTTTTCACACTTTTTCTTTGCATTTAGATTAAAAAAATGGAAATAGGAAACAAATGTTCATCAGTAAAGAGCTGAAAGACTTAAAATGCTCCAAAAGTTAGCTCGTTAAGGATCAAAGCTGTTTTTCTTAAGTATTATTCCTTGAGATCCTTGAGGCATATTGTTGATCTAAATATGCCTCTCACACAAACTGATACAGAAGTTTCCAGACATCTGGCTCTTAGATTACCAGAATGATAATATGGACTATCGCACTTTTTCCTCTTTAATAAATCTTTCTCATTCCTCCATTCATTTTGTGGAGGGAAAAAAGGAGAGAAGAAATATGGGTAGTTCTCAACTTACGAACCCAATTGAGCCTAAAATTTCTGTTGCTAAGGGAGATAGTTGTTAAGTGAGTTTTGCCCTTTTTTACAACCTTTTTTGCCACAGTTAAGTGACTCACTGCAGTTGCTAATTAAGCGACTTCCTCATTGATTTTCCTTGTCAGAAGGTCACAAAAGGTGATCACACAACCTCAGGACACTGCAACCACCATAAATATGAGTCAGTTGCCAAGCATCTAAATTTTGATCACCTGACCATGAAGACGCTGCAATGGTTGGAAGCATGAAAAATTGTCGTAAGTCACTTTTTTCAATGCTGTCGTAACTTCAAATAGTCACTAAACAAACTGTTATATGTCAAGGACTATTTGCACAGTAATGGGAAAGCAAGGAAGGTTACAAATGGAAAGTTGTTTGGATCTCCTATAACATTTGTCAGTGCAATAGGATAATTGCATGTGGTAGTGTTTCATCTTGCATCATTCAAATTTAAGTCTTGCCTGGAAAGAAAATACTTTTTATAAATGAATATATTTTAAACCTTCATAGTTTAACATTTAAGGTAGTAAAATGATACCTAGGTGAAGTATTTTGAAGATGTAAAGCACTAACACAAGAATATAAAAAGTGGGTTTCTATTTTTCATTGACTATGCATTTATTTCCATGTCAGGATATTTATAAAGAATAAAGAAAGTGTTATATCTGGGAGGACGGTTCAAGAATGGAGGCAAGACTCAGATAGTAACTAAAGCTCTTTATTTGTGACTTCAGATCTGAGCAACTAACCCCAGCCGCAGCAGCCCCTTATATAGGGCTGGCTGCGGCTAGGCAGCCAATGAAGGCGATTTGAGTTTGCCGCTCTTGGCAGGGCCAATCGCGGCAGCCCGTTTACTGGCCAATCGCATCAGTCTATGGCGACCAATCATGATCGGCTTTCAGCGGGCCAATCAGATTTGCAGGCTACGAGCCTGCTAGTCCGGAACACCCCTCCCCTCTCAGTTCCGTTTAAGGGGTGGAGTAATATAGTCTCTCAGGTAAGCAGGTCTTCGCACCTGTCTGCCTGACTTACGCAGTTCCGCTTGACCCTGTTCAAACCCGGGTTCAGATGGACTGCTTGCTGGATCAAACAGGAACGGTGGACCGGTGTCATGGTTAGGGCTCTCCTCTGGTGCCCCCGGGGTGATGAAGTCCTCAGCCTCGCTGTTACCGTCATGGCTCCCGGGGCTCGCTGAACCTGCCTGGTTGCTGCTTCCTGGCGAAGCATTCGACTGTCCAGTCTCAGTTGCAGCTGATGAGTGTTGCCAACCATGGTGCGGTGATCTCGGTGATAGCTCGGAATAAACAGGTGTTGGTTCTAATTCTGAGTTCACTGCTTCCCCTCCCCCCCTAGTGTCAAAGTTAGGGTCAGGGTTGGAAGATGTGGTTAGTCTGGAGCGCAGTTGGTCAATATGGCGTTTCCATGGTCTGCCATCAGTGGTGAGTAGACGGTAGGAGCGGGGACCCGTAACTTGAGTTACCTGGGCAGGAATCCAAAGGGGATCCCCAGAAAAAACTTTTGCGAAAACAAGGTCTCCTACCTTGAAAACACGGTGCTTGCTGCTGGAACCCAGGGGCTTTTCCGGGGTGTAGGCAGGGTGCAAACGATCTAGAGGCGATCTGAGTTTCCTGGCCATCAGGAGTTTA